CCGACTATTGCTGACTTAAGCATCGGAGTGTCTACCCCGAGTTCCACCTCGGGGCTTTGCAGGTCATTCCGAAGTGCAAGCGCGGACTAAAGAAGGACTTCGGGTTTGGTGCAATTACAATATTCTAAAATAAATTTTGATATTGTAACATCCCAAGCAAACTCAAGGTGGAGGTCCAATGGTTCGCCCCCGAACTTTAAAGCTTAGGTGAGGCTGTCATCGTCATGAACTCCACCAACCTACGGTTTAATGACCATCGTCTCATTTGAGGAGTGGAATGTTCACCATTCTGAGAATCTCAGTTATTAATAATTAACTCATACTAACTTTCTAATCATTACTTTTGTTAAAAAAAAAAAATTATGGGGCACTCGCCTCCTGCACTCTACGGCAAACAATTTCCCTTGTTTTTGGGCCACGTTATTTTGGTTGGCAAGAGGCTGCACTCAAAGCTTAAAACGGGCTTACGTGGCCCAATGAAAGGGGAAGTATTGGCCGGAGAGTGCAAGAGGCGATTGCCCCTAGCACGCTCGGTCAACTTCCTGTACAATAATTAATTGCGTAGTCATCTCTTGATTGAGATATCATAATAATAATCAGCCCATGTGGATCGGGCATCAGCACGTTCCAACCCTAACTAAACGTTGTTGGAATTAAACTTCCAAGAATATTCGGTTGGTTGACTTGATGAGTTTTTATTAAAAAAAAACGTAAAATTGTGTGCATATAATAATTGGTCGGGGGCCATCACCCTAGGTCTATGTCTTCCCCGAAAAAGAAAGTTAAATGAGCGTGTGGACTCCGGATCTAGGTTATATTATATATATATATTTAATCATTATTATATATATAAATGCATATTTTATTAGATTTAATCATACGGACCTAGTGGCATTAGTAATATTAAAAAGGTGTATCTCTCCTCTTTGGATGGGTTTAATTTCGCTTCATGTTAAATTGTTAAAAAAAATAAAAATAAATATGTATTTTATTTAATGTATAAAATATTATATATATAAATGTATATCTTATTTAATACATAGAGTAATATTTTATATATATATATTGGATGAACTACGTTTGGATATGTTCAAAACTTTTAATATTTTTCTTTTTGGGGAATTTAAAATTATTAACTTAGACCGTACATATTCAAATTTTTTTTCTTTAATGCGAAGGGAGAAGACATTCTCCTCCTCTCTTTTTTTTTTTAATTTAGGTAAATAATTAAATTAAAAAAATAAAGTAAAAAAAATATTTTTCCCTTCGCTTCCCTTCAAATATTTTTTTTTATAACTAAATGGAGAATTTATTACTTCTCCCCTCTATTACCTTCAACCTAAATCCACTATACATAAAATGATGGGTTATAAAATTTGGATATCACTTTTTCTTTTTCGTTTTTTTCTCTGAAATCTCTCTCCACCCATCTTACAATTCAAACTTGAGGCCTTCGATATAAAGGCTCAAATTCTTAGCCACTAAAACATCAAACCATGTTTATATAATTGAATGTGAGCCACCTCTATGTCAAAGATTTTACTCATTCTGTTCATTTTTAATAGTCTTAGTTTGATTTTTTAATTTTTTAAACTTGAATTTTAGATGATAACATATTATATAAATGATAATTGAAAATTTTTTTATCAAATAAAAGTACTCAATAAAAACTTTATGTAAGAAGAAAAAACTTTTCAATTATTATTAATATAAATTATTAAATTTTCATTTGGAATTCATGTATGAAAATCAAAAAATCAAATTAGATCTATTAAAAATGGATAGAATGAGTAATAAATAAATTTAAGGATGTACTTATTATGTCAAAGATTTGCAAGTCATTGAAGTTACATATTCTTGATATTTTTCGTACTACATTTCCCCTTTTACAATGGAAGTATTCATAGTACATACCAAGGACAATATATTGAAAACTAAGAAGAGAAACCTATGTGCAAGATTGTGGTCTCTTCCATTCCCCCATTGTTTTTCTTGGCTTTATGATTGGCACTAACTTAGATGGGTATCAACCACTCACCAAGAAACTTTTGTTTGTGGTATAGGGCTTAATTCAATGATTGGTCTATTAACTATTAGTGTAATTTCATTTAGTTTGAAAAGTTCGTTTTCTTTTTAAATGATCTATAAATTTTGTAAAATATTTTAGAATAATATACTGTGCAAAACTTTCATTAGTTATAACATAAAAATAACAAAAAAGTAAATCAAAATTAAAATAGATAGTTCTACCTAGCAAAACAATCCATGACAGACTGTGCAAGCTATTGAAACATGTTAATAATTGTGGTTTCTAGTACAAAGGAGAATTATCAAAAGAAAAAGCTAAAGTAGTATATGATAAAATTTACAATTTCTCAAATAGTGGAAAGGATTTTATCATCTTCTTAAAATTAGTTTTATTTTAAAATTAATTTGAAGGAGTAAAAACTGACATAAAATATAGTTGAAGATTGATTTAATCAAATGAAGTGAAATTGCTATTATTAGAATGTTAACAAATTAGACTAAACTAAAATAAAAGTAAAAGATAGTAGATGGATCTAAAAGAACTTAAAGATAGTAGACAAAATAGAAAAAAATACAAAAATTACTAAACTGTTTATTAAATTTAGCCATGGTACAGAGTTATGCAATAGCTCCTTTCATGTCCATTCTTTCATTTGGATGAATCATTATTCCTCAAACCAAGTAATCATCTCCCATTGTGAACTACAAATCTTTCTTGGTCTAGCAAGGTGTTGTAAACGACACTCATGCTACCACTAGCATCAAAGAACTCATGGTAACTAGATTTATCAGATGTTTCACCAAGCAAATACTCTGCCTCTTTTGCATCCAATGCATCATTAACCCATGGATGCTTTGTCATACTTCTTAGTTCCTCTAATTCCATAAACACTTCCTTCGTTGTAGGCCTTTCCTCCCCTTTCACACGTAAGCGCCTCCTTGCAAGGTTAGCTACCTCATTAAGTTGCTCAATGTTTGATTCATTCACTATACAACCATCAATAATTTTTCCCAAGCAATTATCTTTCATTGTAGAAAGAAAATACATGGAAAGATTTCTCTCTTCCTTTGCCCCATTAAAGGAAATTACCTTTTCTCCAATCAAAAGCTTGAGAAGAAGGATTCCAAAGCTATAAACATCACTTTTCTCTGTTAATTGTCTTGTATGCAAGCACTCAAGGTCCAAGTATCCAATGGTTCCTTGAACAACTGTAGATAATCCAACCTGATCTTGTGGAATTAACCTTGAAGTACCAAAAGTAGATACTTTTGCTATATAGCTATCATCTAAGAGTATGTTTGTAGACTTTATATCTTTATGAAAGACTGGTGTAGAGGCTGCATAGTGTAAATATAATCGCACTTCTATAGTTTCTACTGTTATCCTTAAGCAGATTTCCCAGGTCAATGATGAAGCCTTACTTTTATTGTGGATGTGATGGTGGAGAGTGCCATTGGTAATGAATTCGTAAACCAACAATGGAACCTCTATCTCTAAGCAACAACCTAACAGCTTCACCACAGTTCTGTGGTTGATTTGTGAAAGAACAACCACTTCATTTATGAATTGCTTATTTTGACTTTGATCAATAATGTGGGACTTCTTGATAGCAACAATTCTCCCATTTCTAAGAGCTCCTTTGTAAACTGTCCCATAACCTCCTTGACCTAGAATCCCGCTTTCTTCAAAGTTGTTTGTGGCCTTCTCGAGTTCTTCAACTCTAAAAATTTTAGCTGTTTCTACAGATCCTTTGTGGTTGGATAGTTATTGTTGCAACATCAAACCTCCATTTTGCATGAAGAACTTCTATTTGAGTTTGATGAGCTTCCATTTATTATATCCCCATGATAGCCAAGTGCCAGCTACTAGGAATAATGCAAGGACTCCAATCCCTTCACAAGTTAAAGAAATAAAAGTGATTACGAAAGTTGATAGAACATATTTTGACTAAAATGAAAAATTAGTGTTGCAATGCAAACCACATTGGATTGCACAACACTAGCCAATAGGTTATGTGAGGTCCTTGATATTAGAGGAAGGCCACTCCATCGAATCCAAACTACAAAACACCATACTCTTAAAAGTGTTCCCAATTATATGAAGTTAAAACTAAATTATTCAGTAGACATTCAACTTTTAGTAATTGTTGGGTTGAAGTAAAACATAAATTTAGAACAAGCTCAAGAAACGTTTTGATTACTTCAACAAAAATTAGGCAAAAAATTAAAATCTGAAGTCGAAATCAATGAAATTGCAAAAGCATGTTGGATATGACTACTTTGAGGTGGAATAAAATATGTGTACTTGCCTACAAGGACCAGAATTATATTCCAGTCATGCTGTTGATTTGGATCGCATGTTCACCATTTATTCCAACAAGATGGTGGTAACCTGTGAGGCACAAACATGTATAACTTCCTACTATATTATTACAGATCATATCTTTACAACCATTGTGATTATGGTCTAAATACGCATTTATGTCTGCAAAAAGAATGAAACCTATCAGAAAATGAACTATTATTTTGACTTACGTGAAATACAATACATATAGCATGAGTCTAACTGGGTTACCTTGGCAACCACTAGGTAGGCATAGATTTTCTTCAAAACCTTTTAAGCAATTGCATTGATATCCATAATCATCAACAGGAATGCAATAGATATTTCCATGGCATGCATTTGCTTTATTACCACATGCATGGTTGACGTCCCAAATTGGCCAATCAAGCACCAGAGGGAGTTTGCTAACATTTTTCAAGTCAAGAAGATAATTTAAAGAAAAGTTTAATTGACCTTCTTCCACGATGAAGCCATAGCTGCAAGGGTTGAACTGCCAAACTCTTGTATGATTTGTGTTGCTAATCACGATTACACTGATGTAGTTTAAAGAAATTTGTTCCTTTGGGAATGGATGTCTGGCAACAGCCAATACCAAAACATGTGTAATTGGTTACATAGTCAATTCTGTCACATTTGGTTATGCAACCTGCATGCTGTCATATGCTATCATATGATATCATATCATAGCCAACAGCTAGCAACAAACTTGTTATCAGTGTAAGAGATAGTATAATTGTATAAATCTACATGAAACCAAGGATTGTCGCTGTGAGTCAATGCCCTAGACTTATTATAGCAATCATGGGCTATAAGTTGCATTATGTGTAGCTTCCCTTCAAGATCTATGTTTGTACTATTAGCAAAAAATTCTAACGAGCAATTGAAAGTGTCGTTGCAAGTTATGAGAAAATTGTCATTATAGTAACATCCTTCTATTGTATCGAATGGATATGGGATACTTACATTACCACACCTATCTTGACAACTAGTGTAAAGGCAGGAGCTCGACTCCCCTAAGCTAAGCCAGAGCAAGGCTCAGAGCTTTGATTGCAGTACCGAGCCAAAGCGACAGAGCTCGACTCCCCTAATCTAAGCCAAAGCAAGGCTCAGCGCTTTGTCTACAGTACCGCAGTTACACGGAGATTACGATGAGGACACTCACATCGGATCACTCGTCCCCACCTAACCCTCTGTCTGCAAAAGACCTTTTCCGTCTAAATACACCACGCTCATTTAATGCAGTTGCTCCGTTAAGGCACGCCACATCCACTCCCCGCTTGCGGGAGACCTACTCCGTCAAAATGCGCCACGCTCATGTAATGCGGTTGCTCCATTAGGGCACGTTACGTCCACCAAAGATACTTAGCCTGTCAAACACATCATGTCACGACAATGATGGCCAAACAGGCCACGTGGACACTCGGCCAAGTGGTACAAATACGCCCACACATGGCTGAAAGAAGGTATGATGAAAAACTAGAAAAAACACTCTTTCAAGATTCCTATTAAAGGTCGTTCCGACTATTGCTGACTTAAGCATCGGAGTGTCTACCTCGAGGCCAACCCTCGGGGCATTACAGGTGAATTCTACAAGAAGCTCGTGGTGCAAAAGGAGGGTTTGACTGCATCAACAACTAGGTTTTGCAATAGGAGCTAGTTCTACTACAATTGTTGCTAATGGCACTGCAATAAGGATGACCAACCAAAACCTTTCATGAATCCCCATTGTTGAAGACTTGAATTTTAACTAGATACTTAGCAAAATGGAACTATATTTTGCTTTAGTTGGAATAGGTGAAAATCATATCATTGTAATTTATCCCTTTTTTTTGTAATATGATATGTACAAGATTTTTTGTGTAAATTGTTCACCTACTATCAATGTACAAAATATATATACAATAAAAGAAGAAGACCGAAGTATGTATGGTCTTCATGTTCCCTCTTTATGTTTATTTTCTGGTTTTTCCTCTATTTCTACTCTCTGCTTGATTTTCACCTTCTGTTACTTGCTTCTGAACTCCAACACCCATGGCTGCTGCTTCTTGCTTTCTTTAGATTGAGCTTACTCAAAGATCAAGATTAAAGTTCATAGAACAAAGAACTTCAGAAAGTTAGTTCTTTTATTTATAGACTTGTGAAAGACAAATACAATATTGGATTTCAATATGAAAGTATTCTATTAATGTCTTGATGTGGCATGACTCTGAAGCAACTATATATAAACTTCTATTGAAAACTCTTATTCTAAACTGTGCTCAGTAATTTTAAGTAGGTAGACCTACCATGTAATAGTTAACTAATATGAAAAACCTTTTCTGCCGACCACATCAATGTATATCGGATGCATTATGAGTTCAAGACTGAGCCAGACTTCTATCAGATACTAAAATAGTACCCACCATTAGCTAAAAAACAAATGAACATCTTGATATTCAAATTTCCGATTGGGAAAAAGTCAACTGTTGATTGGATTTTAAAAACACAGAAGTGCTGAACTAGTGGGTTTATGAAATTAGAAATGTTCAACTGTCTCTCTTAGAGCTTACATTTGACCATTTCAACAATGATGCAATGCAATAACGTAAATGTTAAGTTTATTTATTGAAAGGATTACTGAACCTAATTTGCAGCTTTGTTCAAAGTACCACTACCAACCAAGCTGACAGGTGATGAGCTCAATAAGCATACTCCCAGACCCAGTCCCAGCTAAAGCGGGTGAGTAATTCCGTTCTCCTGGAGAACAGGTCCCCCAAATGTGTGGTATCCTATTTTGACTATTTGTTTCCCAAAAGAAAAATATGGCACAAAGGCGAACACAAACTATCCTGAATACCCACAGAAAAAAAATGCCAGAAGGGTTCAAGATAGTCGTAGCCTCCAAAGTGTTAACATAAAACCCACAGAGACATAAAATCAAACACCCAGTGATCAAAGCATTCCCAGACCCAAAAACAAATTCATAATCCAATCTTCTTTATTTATTTATTTATTTATTTAATTTAGATTGCACAATTGACAAACAATTCTCTTTCATCTGTTTACACATCTCTGGCGTACTATAGTACTCGATCTCAAAATGCTTTGTTTTCACTGAGAAAAGATATTACTACGACTCAGATAATTGTAAGTATAATTCAAATTGGTTAAGAATTAGTTTTCCCTGCATTATAAGCGGGAGGGCAGTTTCAACATCCCACATGGAAACAACATAAACCAACAGACGATTAAAATAAAATCGATGTTTACAAATACAAATCAATATATTTGATTTTTTGAACCTAATTATAAATCCAAAGAAAAAAAAATAAAAATTTCAAAGAATAAAAAAAAAAGCTATTATCAAACAATATTATGATGTTCAGTTAAAAAATAATGCACACTCCGTTTTTTAGATAAAAATAAAACAATCTAAGGAGATAAGAGGATTGTCAATGTCCTCCATGGCAGTATCTCCGTCTTGCTCCGTCAGAGCTGCTGCCACCGCAATTTCATCGATCTTGGAGGTAATCCGGTGAATGCAAGTCTCCCTGTTTCTTAAACACGGCCGCAGCTGCTCACTTGAACTGCTGATCGGACTTACCGGATGGAAATTCTCGTTTCTCGGAGAGGAGGAAGAAACGGAATTAACTGGAGTTACCTTTCTACCACGAAAACGCTTTGAGCAATTAGCCTTTGATGTGTTCGACGAAATTCCCCTACCAAATTCTCCACTGAATCTCCTACTAGGAGAAGGTGACTTCAGGGTTCTGCTCGGCAGAGACGAATACCCAGGATTAAGCACCTCAGGCTCCTTTCTGAAGCTCTTCTGACGAGGTAGAGCAATTGGAGAACTCGACCTCCCTCTCTTGTGCGGGCTAATACCCTTCTCTTTTTTCGGGACAGCTGCTGGTTTGGATGGAGATTCTAACTTTTGAGCATGAGGTTTGCTTGAAGCTGAT